GGGCAGAGGCCACGCAGGCTGAGAACTGTGGATGTGGTCCTGAGGGCAATGGGGAGCCATTGAAGGTTCCTGGGTAGGGGAGAGGAGCAGCTCAGGAGTTCCGAATCCATTCCCATGTACTGAGCACCTACTATGTGCCAGGCACTGTGTCACATCCCCGTGGTGGGGGATGTCGTTTTCTTCTCTTAGAAGTTCTGTCAGGGAACTGGTATAATTACTGGTTTAAAGATAAGGGGCGCCCGGGGGGGCTCAGTCAGTTGAGCGTCCGACTTTGGCTCAGGTCACAATCTTTCGGTTCGCGGGTTCAAGCCCCGCATCGGGCTCTGTGCTGACGGCTCGGAGCCTGGAGCCTGCTTCGGATTCTGTGTCCCTCTCTCACTGTGCCCGTCCCTCGCTCATGCTCTGTCTCTCTTTCTCTCAAGAATAAAGAAAACATTAAACAAAATTAAAAAAAAATTATTTTAAAGATGGAAACACAAGTAACTGAGGAACAGAGAGGTGGAATGACCTGAGCAAAGTAGGAGAGCCTGTAAGAGACAGGGCCAGGGTTAGGTGGTGTGAATGCAAAGGTCCCTTCTTTCCTTGGACGACTCCTCTGCACCTGCTGTGGGGATGTCTGGAAGGCGGAGGCTGGAGGCAGGGAGGCCAGACAGGAGGCTGGGCGAGGGCCCGGGATGGAAGGGTCAGATGGAAAGAAGGGAACAGGGCAGAGAGAGTCCTGGTGGGACGGGTGGCCCCGGAGACATCTCCCCCAGCCAGAGCAGTGTCCTCCCTCTCGGAGCATCTGCAGAGGCCTGCCTCCCACCGGAAGTGTTTCTGAGTCACATCCCGTCCCCGGGGGATCGTGACAGCCGGGAAAGAGCCCTGCTGAGAGCAAGGCCCGAAGCAGCCATGGGCTGCGGTGGGGCTGCGCGGATGCATCAGCCTCCCAGGAGTTTGAGGTTCCTTCTCTGAGATAGAAACAGTAGTGACAGCCAACATCCAGGGGCACAGGCGGGAGCGGTAGGGCGGAGACAGCAAGACCCCATCCTGGCATTCAGCACCTGAGCTACGACAGGAGAGAAAGCTGGAGACAGGCAGAGGGGAGGTGGCGGAAACCCAGAGAGAAGGGGACAGAGACCAGAGTGGGGGGAGGGAAACTTGGTGGGGGTGAGGCCACAGAGATCCAGAGGTGGGCGACAGAGGCCACAGAGACTGGGGGACAGATATTTGGGGCAGGCGGAGAGCAGGAACCAGGAGAGAGGGAGACAGAGACCCAGAGAGAGGAAGGAAGAGAACTGGGTGCCTGGGGTCCCCGGCTGAGATGACAAGTCCCAGACCCGACAGAGAACAGCAGGAGAACACGAAGCAGAAGCTTTGGGCTCCTGTCTTAAGCGAGGGTACCATTATGAGGCCAGGAAAGGGACAGAGATGGTAGTATTGCTCTCTGAGAAGGTCGGTGAAGCAACGCAAAGATGGACAGGGCAGAATTTCTGGGGGTTACGTGAGGTCTTGGTGCTAAGCCCCTTCCTGGTACTTCCCGCCCTGTTGTCATTATTTTCAACAATGGGGACACTAGTCATTGAGCTTGCCTTACTGACCTTACCATCTTGGCCACCCTTCCTCACTGCCATCTGAGCAAGGTAGCATCATTCCTGTTTTATGGCAAAGGAAGCACACCAGGCTCGGGGGGGGGGGGGGGGGAGTTGATGGCCAAGGTGCAGTCTATGGGTGGCCAAGGAGGGATTTGTCCCCATCTCTGGCTCTCCCCTCACCATCAGGCCATTTGCTTCTCAGCCAAGGGCGACAGGCCCTGTCTTCACCACCCCCAGATCTGCTCTCAGTGAAGCTAAGACTCACCCCCAGGGACCCAAATGGCCCCTTCTCAAAGAAGTATTGACCACAGGCCAGCCTGTGCCCCTCCCACCAGCCCTGGGAAGGTAGCTATTAACCTCACCTCCATGTGACAGGTAAGGTAAGAGTCCCCTCCCTGAGGTGGTACAACTATTAAGTGGGAGAACGGAGTAGACCCCAGGACCTACTTTCCTTATTTTCCAGAACAGCTACAGGAAACCCAAGACCTTCTGGGTCTTCAGTTTAAAAATAATCACTTCTGGGGCACCTGAGTGGTTCAGTCGGTTAAGCGTCCAACTCTTGATTTCGGCTCAGGTTGTGATATGGCGGCTCGTGAGATTGAGCCCCGCATCAGGCTCTGTGCTGACAGTGCACAGCCAGCTTGGGATTCTCTCTTGTGCTCTCTCTCTGCCCTCCCCAGATAGCGCTTTCTCTCTCTCTCTCAAAATAAATAAAAATTAAAAAAATAATCAGGGGCGCCCAGGTGGCTCACTTAGTTAAGCATCCAACTTCGGCTCAGGTCATGATCTCACAGTTTGTGAGTTCAAGCCCTTAATCAGGCTCTCCACGGTCAGCATAGAGCCCACTTCAGATCCTCTAGTCCCCCCCTCTCTCTGCCCCTCCCCTGCTCACTCTCTCTAAAAAACAAACAATTAAAAATTTTTGTTTAATGTTTTATTTATTTTTGAGAGACAGAGAGAGGGTATGAGTGGGGAGGGGCAGAGAGAGAGAGAGGCTCAGAATCCGAAGCAGGCCCCAGGCTCTGAGCTGTCGGCACAGAGCCCGACGCAGGGCTCGAACTTGTGAACCACCACAAAGTCGGATGTTTAACCAACTGAGCCACCCAGGCGCCAAAGTCGGACATTTAACCAATCGAGTCCCCCAGGCGCCCCCCCCAAAATAAGTAATTTTTTAAAATCTCTTTGTGTATTGGTTAGGTACTGCTGTGAAACAAATTATCCCCAAACTTAGAACAACCAGCCTGGAGTGGCTTAGCTGGGTGGTTCTGGCTCAGGGTTTCTCATAAGGTTGGAGTCAAAATTTCAGTAGGGGCTGCAGCCATCCGAAGGACTGACCAGGACTGGAGTTTGCACATCCACATTCATAAGACTCTTAGCTGGAGGTTCATTTCCTTGTCCCATGGGCCTCCCCACAAGGGGCTGCTTGTGACATGGCAGTGACTCCCCAGAGCAAGCGAGGGCAAGCAGGAAGCCAAGGTCCTTTTGTGAACTAGTCTCTTAAATCACACACCATCACTTCTGCCTTATTCTACTAGCGACGAGGGTCACTAAGTCCAGCTGACATTCAAGTGAGGCAGGTAAGTCTCCTCATTTAGAGAAGTGTCAAAGAATTTATGGACATACAGTAAAGCCTTGGATGGCGAGTAGCTTGTTCTGGGTGTGTTCCACAAGACGAGCAAACGTTTCTAGTACATTTCATACTTGATAAATGTGCTGTCTTGCAATACGAGTAGTACGTGCCATCGAATGGCACGTGATCACAACTGAGCCAATGGTTCTTGAAATTCACTTGGATATACGGGCACTTTGGATTACAAGCAGGTCTCCGTGCGCGAATTATGCTCGCAAACCAAGGTTTCACTGTATTTAAAAAAATTTTTTTTCTGACATTTATTTATTTTTGAGAGACCGAGCACAAGTGGGGGGAGGGAAAGAGAGAGAATTGGGGGAGGGGCAGAGAGCCGAAGCGGGCCCCAGGGTCTGAGCTGTCAGCGACAGAGCCCAATGCGGGGCTCGAACTCATGAACTGGGAGATCATGACCTGAGCAGGAAGCTGGACGCTTAACCGACTGAGCCACAATCTCTTTACTTCTTACGGGTCTATGCAGATGTCCTAGTTCTTCATACCCTCCCTCCCTCCTCCTCCTCCTCCTCCTCTTCCTCCCTCCTCTTGCTCCTCTGTCTCTGTCTTCTTCAGACTTTAAAGTAACCTCTACACCCCACGCGGGGCTCAAACTCAAAACCCCGAGATCCAGAGTCACACGCTCCACTGACTGCACCAGCCAAGTGCCCCTCTGATAACGACTTCTACTCTCCATTCTCCTGAGGTCACTGAGGTCAGAAAGCATACTTTGTATGATTCGGTTCTTTTGCATTTATTGAGACTTGTGTTCTGACTCAATACAGGGTCCATCCTGGACCCGAGGTAGAATGTCTCATGGGCACTTGAGAAGAATGTGTATTCTGCTCTTGCCGGGTGGAAGGCTGTCAGATGTCTGTTAGGTCTGGCTGGTTTATAGTGGTTTTCCGGTCTTCTGTCTCCTTGTTGATTTTCTCTCCGGTTGTGCTGTCCGTTACTCAAAGTGTGATACTGAAACTGAAGTCCCCAACCATTGTTGTTGAATTGTCAATTTCTCCCTTCAATTCTGTCAGGTTTTGTTTCACACATTTTAAACTCTTTTTAATGTTTTATTGAGAGAGAGGGAGAGAGAGAGAGACAGGGTACAAACGGAGGAGGGGCAGAGAGAGAGAGGGAGACACAGAATCGGAGGCAGACTCCAGGCTCTGAGCTGTCAAGCGCAGAACCCGACGCAGGGCTCAAACTCATGAACCATGAGATCCTGACCTGAGCCGAAGTCGGACGCTTAACCGACTGAGTCACCCAGGCGTCCCTTCTTTCATGCATTTTAAAGCTCTGTTTGGTGCATATATATATTTATAATGGTTACACCTTCTCAAGGACTTGACTCTTACAGGTTTGGGCAGTTTTTTTCATTGTTTTTATGGAGGGGTGGAATTTTGGGGATCCATCATTTTGCTTATGTTGCCTTAATACAATATTTCTTTTTTCTTTTATTTTTTTTTATTTTGAGAGAGAGAGAGAGATCAGGGGAGAGGGGCAGAGGGAGAGAAAGAGAGAGAATCTTAGGCAGGTTCCATGCTGAATGTGGAGCCTGATGAAGGCTCCTGGGGCCATGACCTTTGCCGAAATCACACCCCTGGGGCCATGACCTAAGCAGAAATCAAGAGTCAGACACAACCGACTGAGTCACCCAGGTGCCTCAATACGATATTTCTCATCACACCTCTTCTCCAGAGCAATCATGCAAGGAACGTGATGTTGTCCTTTTCTTACGACAGAGGAAACTTGTTCTCCCTTTTCTCTTTGGGTACTAGTTCAGCAACTGTGAAGGACACCAAAGTAACTGGCTTAGGCAAGATACTTTATTTCTCTCTCACATAATAATCTCAACAAGCGTAGCAGGCTTACTCTTCAAATGAAGTGCATTACAGGTTCCGTGTTCTGGAGGTTCAGCTATAGAGTCGCAAGTGTGGCTGCCAGTAACAAAAAGACACAAAATAGCACAGGCTAAACACGATGGAAGATGTTCTCTCTCACATGTACATCATGGTCAGTGGTTGGAATTTGAGTACAGGGGCTCCACAGTACTGAGGACTCAGCCTTCTCTATCTTGTTGCGTCCTGCAACTGGTGGTCAAGATGTTTGCTCTGGCTTTAGCCACCAACTTTGAACTCCAGCCAGCAAGAAGAGAGAAAGGGGGATGTTTTCCTCTTTTCCTTTAAGAAAGGCATGACTTAGAAAATGCCTACCTTAGTGCTACTCACATCCCATTGGCTGAAACTTTGTCGTGTGGCCACACCTACCTGCAAGGGAGCCTGGGAAATGTAGTCTTTGCCTGGACAGTCATGTGCCAGGCTAAGTCATCTAAAAATGTGGAAGAGCAGACAGTGGATCCTGCCACCTGCATCCCTCTTGGGCCACAGTTTGCTTCGCATGAGTCCTAAAGCATTTTCTGGTGATATAAGGTGGCGATGATCAGAGGCTATGTGGTGTCATGGTTTAAAACAAAGGCTCTGGGTTTAAAATCTGACAAGGCCATCTCACGCGCTGTGTACCTGAGAATTCAAGGGGGGATTGTATCTCTAAGCCTCATTTTCCTCACTTGCCGATTGGGCCAAAAAGCCCCAAAAGGTGTGGCTTAGAGGACTGAAAAGGAAATGTGTGTGTGTGTGTGTGTGTGTGTGTGTGTGTGTGTGGCATGGTGCTTAGTGAGCACTTATATCTGGAAAGTGGGTTATCTTAAAATTTTTTTCCAGTGCCTGGAGAGAAAAATACAGCATGTGTTTTAATAGTTCATCTTATTTATGTCTGTGGACCCCAAGGGCATTTCTCTCAAGGTTCAATTGGGACCATCCATCTCCCATGGATCTGAGTTCTCCCCTGACCCCCCCCCCCTTTCCGGATCCCACTTCTTTTCCTTCCCATTCACCAAGCAGAAAATGAGCCCACCCTCTGGTTTCATGGAACAGGAGTACCAAGAATCAAAGAGGTACAGCCCCGGCCCAAGGTCACACAGCCATTGCAGGGCAAAATTGAGGTGCAAACCCAGCCTCCTCTCTGTTCTAGACCTTTTTCTTGGGGTTGGGGTTCACTCCCACACACCCACTGACCTGCCTTCTCCCATTCTTCCCCAGAGTGGGGTCAACAGTGGATTGGTCCGTGCCAAAGACTCCATCACCAGCTTGAAGGAAAAGACCACCAGGGTTAACCAGCACGTGCAGACGCTGCAGGTGTGGGGACCCCCCCCCCCCAATACCTCCTCTTCCTCCACGGCCAAGTTCCTCTCCTAGAGCTCTCCTCCAACTCAGTGCCCCCACAGCCCTGCTTGGGAAGGTTGAGGCTGGGAAGGGAAAGCGTCCTTCCCAGACCCAGCCTCTCCTCCCCATGGGGTATCCTCGTGGCCCTGGCTAACCTCTCTTCCCTTCCGGGCTCCAGAGTGAGTGTTCTGTGCTGAGCGAGAATCTAGAGAGAAGGCGGCAAGAGGCGGAGGAACTAGAAGGCTACTGCAGTCAACTCAAGGTGAGCCACAGCAGAGCAAGAGAAGGGTGGGGAGAAGGGAGTGGAAGTAGGAAGAAGGTAGAAACGTGAGGGGGAATGGAGTCATGGACAGGAGATGGGTGGAGAAAACTAGCCCTTGGAGGGGGGTCTACGGAGGAAGCCATCCCTGAAGCCCAGGGAACCAGGCAGACTGGAGGAAGCAGGTGTGTTTCAGAGGAGGGGTGGGAGCCTCCATGGAACTAGCGAGGGTAAGAGTTGGGAGGCGGGAACTGGAATGGGAAGGCAGGGCCCCTGCCCTGGTGTTCTGACCCAGGAGAACTGCCTGAAGGTGACCCAGTCGGTGGAAGACGCTGAAATAAAAACCAACGTCCTGAAGCAGAACTCTGCCCTGCTGGAGGTGAGGGGCGGGGGGGAGGGTTGGGGAAGAGGTCAGACGCACGAGGTACTTGAAGTAGACTTCAGGCGGGGCTTCCTGCCCAGCCACCCCCGCCCCCCATCAACCACCGCCACCGCCCCTTCAACGTTCACGTTCAAGCTCCTCCATGCGTACTCGCGTTCAGGTCTTGGAGAGGGACTCGTGTCCGACTCTGAGCAGGAATGCCTGTCCGGCCCCCATTTCTTACTCATTTCCCAGCACCATGTTGGAAAAGCTTCACTTGTTCTAACAGGAGGGGCTGGAATTTGGCCCCACGGAGAACCGGAGTGGGGGTGGAGGGCTGGATGGGGACGTGGAGGCAAGCATTCGGAGGTTAAAGCGAGTGGGATTTCAGACGGGCCAGTCCTCCCCAGCAACAGCAATGGAGAGTCCATCTAGACTCGAAACGGGGCTTCCCACTCTTCTCTCCCCCATCCATTTACTTTCCAATCTCGGGGCGTCATTGGGCAGATTGGCGGGTGGGGGTGGTCGTGGGAGGCAAGCGGCTGGACGGTGTCACCCCGCCTTCCTTCCCCGCCCAGGAGAAGCTGCGTTATCTCCAGCAGCAGCTGCAGAACGAGACACCGCGGAGGCAGGAGGCCGAGCTGCAGGAGCTGGAGCAGAAGCTGGAAGCTGGCCTCTCTCGGCAGGGCCTGGGCCCCCCCGCCCAGCCTCATGGCTCCTCTGGCCCTCCGGGGAGCCCCAACGAACCCCCGCGACCGCGCAGCCTGGCCTCAGGCGGTTGGGGAATGGGGCCGCGGGCGGGGGAGGGCCCCGTCGTGAGCGAGCAGGAGTTGCAGAAAGTCTCTGCCGGCCTTGAGGAGCTGAGGCAAGTGGGAAGGGTGCGAGGGTGTGAAACCTCGAGGACCTGACATGGGCGGGCCCGAGGGTGGAGCCTCGAAGATCAGAGCGGGACAAGGGCCTATGCGATGGAGCTCCAGGAGCCCAGGAGGGAGGGTGTTGGGGATGGTGAGCTGGAAAGGCCGGACTTCAAAGAGCTGAGTTTTGAGTATAGGGTTGGCGGAAGGGAGGTCCGCGTCTGGTGAAACTAGGGTGGGCGGGTTTGGGTAGGGGACAGGTCCTCGGGGGCTCCAACTTCAGGGTCGCAGCGTCTGGAGGAGCTATGGCATGGGGCTGGCGGGGGGGGGGGGGGTGGCAGTACAAGGGAAGGGCCAGGACCCCCGACAAGGGGACAGGGACGTGAGAGGATTGCAAGAAATGGGCAGGACAGGAGAATTTGGGAGCTGGGTGGGTCCAGAGCCATGGGCAGGGAGGGGGCGTTGGAGACCTGTCAGAACCTCAGCCCTGACCCGTTCCTTACCTCTGCCTCTCCAGGAGGGAGGTGTCCTCGCTGACTGCCCGGTGGCATCAGGAGGAGGGGGCGGTACAGGAGGCCCTGCGGCTGCTCGGGGGCCTGGGCGGCAGGCTCGACGGCTTCCTGGGCCAGTGGGAGCGGGCGCAGCGTGAGCAGGCGCAGACCGCGCGGGGCCTACAGGAGCTGCGGGGCCGGGCGGATGAGCTGTACACCTTGTAAGAACCAAGGCGAGCGCGCGGCCAGGGAATAGGGGGCGGGGCCTTGAAGGTCAGGGATGGACCCATCAGCTAGGGCCTAGAGGTGGAGCCCCTAGCCTGGCACGTGGAAGCTCTAATTAGAAAGAGGGGGTGGCTTGCTATAGATAATAAGGATTGAGGGGCGGAGCCAATTAGAGAAGTGTTGTGTTCCATGCCTTAAAAGGATAAGGGGAGGAGCCAAGTAGGAACAGGGAAAGCCAATTGGAGAACAGGGAGGGGCATTTCAGCACTTAAAACACAAAGGAAAGGCCAATCAGAGCGCAGAGGGGCGGGGCAGGGCCGGAGTATCGCAGACTAGATGCAAACGGAGGGGCTGCGCTAATGGGTGAAGTGCGAAGGGGACTTAACCGTTGGAGAGGCTACCTCGCAGCACTGGTTACCCTCACCTCAGGGTGGAGCGATCTGCAGTGTCTGTGGCTTCACTGAGGAGCGAACTGGAGGGGCTGGGCCCAATGAAACCGATTCTGGAGGAGCTGGGGCGGCAATTTCGGAGCTCTCGAAGAGGGTCTGACCTCTCCATGACCCTGGATCGGCCGCCCCAAGGCTCCTGTGCCCGCTGTGCCAGGTAAGGGGATGGGGCCTGGCGGGGCGTGGTGCATTCTGGGTCACGTTGAGGACAGACCATTGAAGGAGATGGGGCACTGGCCAAGACTCTGGCAGGGGGTGGAGGATAGGGAGGAGTTCACGGTGGGAGAGTATCCCCATGCGTTTTAGGACAGGCTAGTCCTTGTGCGTTATGGGGGCCAGATTTCTCCCCTTCCCACAAGATGAAGTCAGTGTCTTGTGGGACACAAGATATGATACATTTTGAGCATCCTGGATTTCCAGTGCATTGTGGGAAGGTTGGGATGTGGTACTTGGTGGGAGGCCAGGTTTCTCTGCATCGTGAGAAAGGTTGAGACCTTGATGCATTAGAGAACGGAGGGATACCAGGCTTGGTCCGCAATAGGAAGTGGGGGACTCCCAATACGGGTTCAAGTTTAACTAGTGTATGATGGGAAATGTGTTTTTTTTTTTTTTTTTTTTCATGAACTAAGGGCTGTCTGCTACCCTTTGGGAGTGGGCACCCCCCAGGGCACTGTGGGAATTACCCACACTGTGGAAATCAAAAGATACCTGATGCACTGTAGGTTGGCCCCAGTGCACGGTGGGAAGGGTGCGTGGGTGCACAGTGGAAGTGCCATCTGAGTGGGGGCCGGGCAGGTGGCTATGGGGCATCTGGGAATGGAGTTGGTATGAGGCTCCTTACACCCAGTGACTGCCCCTCCCTCAGCCAGGGGCAGCAGCTGTCCACCGAGTCCCTGCAGCAGCTACTGGAGCGAGCACTGACCCCCCTAGTGGACGAGGTGAAGCAGAGGGGCCTGGCTCCCGCCTGCCCCAGCTGCCAGCGGCTACACAAGAAGATTCTGGTACCAGGGACCACAGGCCATCATGCCCCACTTTTCGGTCAGGGGGGCGGGAGGGGAGCCCCGGACACAAGGATACTGTTGGTGTGTGGCAGGATGGGAAGCACTAAACACCATTCGTGGCAGGTGTTGGGGGAACACGTGGATCTGATGCATCGGGGTGGGGAGGAGAGGCAAGCAGTCTGGTGGGTGGTAAGTCACAGGTCAGTCATTATGGGACCCGGGGTGATGGACTTGGGCCCAAGGCAGTGGATGACACATTGGATCTGATGCATGGTGGGACACAGGAGACAGACGCTCGTCTACAGCTTCATGGAATACAAGCCTGATTTTCTGTAGACCTTAAGAGACGCAATATGGGATCATTGAGGTCAGACAGGGGACCCAGTGAATACAAGTCACAGTAAGCTAGTGCATTATGGGAAATGGAACTACAGCTCTTCACGAGGTATTGCACCACCGGCCCCAGCCTATTAGCTGATGGAACTTGAGGCCTGTGTACATCCTGAAACACAGATACCTAATGTATTATGGGATACTGGCCTAATGTACGATGGGACACAAGTTGCAGTGGGTGAGACGACACTGATGTGGCAGGACTACAGGACTAATACATGAGAGGACACGGGGCCTGGGACGTTGTGGAATGTAGGGAACCAGAGGACTGAGGATTATTATTTTAACTGAGATGCTGGTCTAAGAGAGATGCGGGGTCTTACGAATTAGGGGATGTAGTTCACCAATGATGGGATCCTGGGACCTGGACACATATCAAATGCACGATGGTTCATGGGCATTAGGGGACAACATGTTAGATGCTGGTTGCGTGCTTGCTGGGACACAGAAGGGCAGTACGTTAGGGGACAGACAGTGGGACAGCCACAGGTTCAGCACATGATGGGATATGGAAAGCCCACTGTGGGATGCTGGGGTCAGTCTCAGGTCCAAGGCATGATGGGAAACCCTGGGGGAGGAACGTGGACCCCATGGGCCCCATGACCCTTGCCCGCCGCGATCCAGCTCCCCCTCCACCCCCAGCCCAGTCCGGCAAGCCCAGCCGCGCCTACACTCCTCTCCCCAGGAGCTGGAGCGCCAGGCCTTGGCCAAACACATCAGGGCAGAGGCCCTAAGCTCCACCCTTCGGCTGGCCCAAGACGAAGCCTTGCGGGCCAAGAACCTGCTGCTGACCGACAAGATGAAGCCGGAGTGAGGAAGGAGGCTGAGGGCGTGGGAGGAGGGTGAGGTCTTGGGGAAAGGGCCCGAGTCACCCTCTTCTTCCACTCTAGCCCCCTGGCATCTGGCCTCATCAGCACCAGCCCCCCACTCTCTGTTATTACAGGGAGAAGGTGGCCACTCTGGACTATGTACACCTGAAGATGTGCTCCCTCCACGATCAACTCAGCAACCTGCCACTTGAGGGGTCCACAGGGACGATGGGGGGAGGAAGCGGTGGGGGAGCTCCCCCAAAACGTGGGGGCCCAGCCCCTGAACAATAAATGGCCTCTCATGCTGGCATGAAATCTCTCTCCTTTTTGGCACCATAGGAGGGCTGGTAAATCCCACCCACGCCGCACACGAGCCTCTCCCCGTGACTCGATCCTCAGCCAATGGGGTTTCCAGAGAGTTGATGATGATGGCACAGTTCTTTGGAAAGGAAATAGGGGGTAGAAATAAGGACCTGTGGTACAGTGTGGGACCGTCGATCCAAACCTTTTTAGAGTGGTTTTTAAAAAAATTATATGATATATGTATATAACATATAAGATCAAGAGTCACATGCTGTACTGATTGAGCCAGCCAGGAGCCCCTATGGTGATTTTTTTTTTTTTAACTAGACCATTATATCGTCTAACACTGTGTAAAAAAAAATTACCCCTCCCCAAACGTAGCTGTTTAAAAGAATAAACCTATTGTCTCACACAATTTCTGAGGGTCAGGAACCTAGGAGTGGCATAGCTGGATGGTTGTGGTTCAGGGTCCCCATGAGGTGGCCTGATTTGGAGGCCTCGGTTCCTTGTTGTCTGTTGGCGGGGGGGGGGGGGGGGGCTCAGTTTCTCACGACGGCTACCTGTCCCTAGAGCAAGCAGTCTAAGAACAAGCAGGAAGCTACAGGGCCTTTGATGACCTCGTCTCTGAAGTTGCAAACTGTCATTTTACCTTTTTATGTTCATTAGAGTTGAGTCACCGAGTCCAGATCATACTCAAGGATCATGTCAAAGGATCTGCAGACATATTTTTTTAAAGATTTCATTTTAGGGGCGTCTGGGTGCCTCAATCAGTTAATCATCCAACTTCGGCTCAGGTCAGGATCTCACGGTTTGCGGGTTCAAGCCCCACGGCGGGCTCTGTGCTGATGGCTCAGAGCTTGGAGCCTGTTTCGGGTTCTGTGTCTCTCTCTCTCTCTCTGCCCCTCTCCCACTCATGCTCTGTCTCTGTCTTTCAAAAATAAACATTAAAAAAAAAAAAAAAGATTTCAGGGCACCTGGGTAGCTCAGTCGGTTAAGTGTCCAACTTTGACTCAGGTCATGATCTTGCAGTTCATGAGTTCGAGCCCCACATAGGGCTCTGTGCTGACAGCTCAGAGCCTGGAGCCTACTTCAGATTCTGTGTCTCCCTCTCTTACCCTCCCCTGCTTGCTCTCTCTCTCTCTCTCTCTCTCTCTCAGTAATAAATTATAAACATTAAAGTTTTTAAAAAAGATTTCATTTTTTTTTTTAAAGTAATTTCTACACCCAACATGGGGCTCAAACTCACAACCCTGAGATCAAGAGTCACATGCTCCCCGGACGGAACCCGCCAGGCACTCCTGTAGATGTATTCTGGAGACCTTGTCAATTTGTGGACATATTTTAAACCAGCATAGTAATCCCATTTTTAAACCTTTAATGGAAGGATAATATAAACAGGAAAGTTCGCAAATTAAAAGTATATGACAAATTATCATAAAATGGACCTGTGTTTCCAATCACAACCAAGATAAGCTGAACCTGACTAGCACCCACTGAAGCCCCCATCATGTCCCCTCCCAATCACTACCCTTTCTGCACACCCAACATTCAACTTCTATTCTTCTAACACCATTGCAATAACATAAGGAAAGAAGTACAAAGATAGAGAATAAAGGAAATTATCATTATTTCTAGATGCTATATAATTGCACACATAGGGAATCAGAGAACCCAAAGGAATCTATCTAAAAATTATTAAAAATTAGTTTTGGGATGCATGGCTGGCACGGTTGGTAGAACATCCACTTTTTCTTTTTTTTTTTAAATATTTTTGAGACAGACGGCACAAGTAGGGTTGGGGCAAAGTGAGAGGGATATAAAGAATCTAAAAGCGGGATGCAGGCTCTGATCTGTCAGCACAGAGCCCGATGTGGGGCGTTGGCTCAAACTCGTGAATGGCGACATCATGATCTGAGCCGACGTCACACTCAACCAATTAAGCCACCC